ATACTAGAAATAGTTTGAAAGCACAATTGATTGAATTTCTGATGTGCTATAAAATAATTCAATCGTATACTGTAAAATCGTATACTATAAAATATTTTCTCGTCTGAAATTTTTTTTTGTTGTAATTGTGGTTATACATATGTGTTGTAAAATTTTTGGGAAGCTTTTTTTGTCACTTATATATTTACGTATACACATATGTACACATATATACCGTATTCTCAAAGTCTGATAAAACCATCAGTTGAGTACTGTCGTACTCTCATGGCAGCACATTAATAATACTTTTGCTACTGCTACTATGAAATAATACTGACTTGTATGTACACTTGCATGCTTCATGCATTAAAGGAAACGGAAGCCATGCTGTTAAGTCGTCTTAACGAAATTTAGGAAATTCGTTTGCCTTTTTTACAGTTTGTTGAACTTTGGCAATGAGATATTTAGCCGAGGTTAGAATAGTATTTGAAAAGCTTTGTCTTGACGAACTTTGATCCTTTCTCATCACCATGTCCATTCTCTGTTTGCCAAATGTACCTGTTTTGAATCACAATTGCAAGAGAACCTTGTGCAAATTGTTGTACTCTTCCTATTGTACTCAAAACGAACATATTTAAATATGTAACGCTGGATGCACTATTAATTATTCTTGTAAAGTCATTCGCGAAATGTCTGACGAAAATTTTCGTAACTTTATTTTCGAAATATCGTAGTTGAGTATGCTTAAAATTCCCTCGATACAGCAATATTCAGTCTTGAAAGTCTTATGACTTTCCTTCTTCGAAGTATATGGTAAATGCACAGATTTGCCCGGAGTTAAACAAAAAAGAGAACTGAAAGTGAAATATAGTGCTGCAGAATTCTTAAAAAAGTTTGGAAGGGATATAACAAAATACCGTCCAGAAACTTGACTTGAGTTACATCCCCGCTGCATTTTTCTACTCGAGTCAATTACATTTATTCAGCGGAATATATATCCACCGTGAAATATTAATTAACATCTGTACACAGTTTGTGGTCTTATCATCAAGTATATAAACAACCGGAAGAGAGGCAAAAATATTTCATTAGAATTTCCAAAAAAAAATGGAAATACCCAAAACACAATCAAGATTTTCTGTCTTTTGTTTAGAAGAGACAAAAACTGAGCAGTGCAAAGAGAAGATAAAAAGGAGAGAGTGAACACGTTAATTACCGGACAGTTAATTACTCCCGTATTTATAAATCAAAGTACCCACTTCCCATTTTATAGATGGTTGGATTTTGAAAGCAATGACCTACCATATTTAAGCACAATAAGAAAAAACAGGGAGTTTTGGATCTTGGCAAAAAATGCAAAAGAACCCAGCATGATGTCTTTACCCCCATCTTCTCTCTCATCGCAAACGTATATGTTCATATAGCCTTCCAAACATGAAGAGAAAAAGTTATTAATTTAAGTACACGGCAAAGGCATAAAAACAAGCCTCGCCAACATCATACAATATTACCTATTCGTTTAAAACAAAAAACGATAAGTATCATGCAACGGGTATAGATTATACAGATAACTGCTGGTAAATGATTTCAATGTTAAAAATATGTGACATCTCCAAATTCGTTTTGACAAAAGAAATAATATTAAAAAACAGCATGTACAAAACTGTTGCAACATGAAGGAATAGTTAAACATAAAATATTAACCGATGGGATCGAGCTTTGTCCTGCAAAGCAGGAACACTTGATTCTTAAAGGAAAAAAACTGATAATTTTAGTCAAAACTAGAAAACGCCAACAGAATCTGATAAATAAGTAACAAATGAACTAAGCTGTACTGATGGCTTGCACCAACCCTTGCTTTTCCAGTATTCTAAGGCGCTTCTCCACTGCATTCTTATATTTCGAAAGCACTAGTTTATCTGCTTCGTTCGACACTTGCTCTGACAGTGTATGTAGCATCATGTAAGCCGTCTGGTACCTGAAAAATTATAATTTTAGCTGTCAGTTACTTGGATAAAAGAAAGTGTGTGGTGAGTGCAAATTTTCTCCCAAGAGCTATCAGAATATCACTGTTCTTCAATATTATCAGTCCTCGCTTTATCATTTTACTTTCTAATATAAACTTACGAGTCTTGTCATGAGTTAAATATTTAGATCCGCTAAACCAATAAATAATTGTCTTTTCACTGTTCTATGACGAGAACAATGGAAGCAATAAAAGTGACAAATAGTAATATTAAGGCACAGAAAAAGTAATATATTACGTAAATACCGTTGAGAGCAGAGATGTGGATTGCCAAAAAGTTCATCTAAAGCAGCACTTTGGCAAAGTTGAATGGCATGTTTGTACATAATCCGCTCGGCTGATATTACTGCCATAGCAGGATCAGGACCTGGTAACCCAAGAGATGCTAACTCCTGTGATCGTATCTGAAATATTATTGCAATGTTACTCACGAAATTCAATTTAGACACCTCGTAACAAATATAATGACAATTGTCAAGAACTTCATCAAGCCTCTGTAAAGTTTTAGTTGAAATTTCAAAAAAGGAAGGTATTGAAAACTGCTATGAAAAATCATTTTTTTTGCTATGATAGATCCTTTTTGAATTAAAAAGAAATGTTTACCAAACACAGATGGTATTTATTATTGAAGCCTAAATGAAGATAAAGCCTTGAAATTTGATATCAACAACCTAAATATCTGAGTTACTTATAAGCTCATGTCTTTAAAAAGTTAAAAGGAAAATAGCTCGAAAGAAATGCTTACCAGACACTGGTGGTATTTATCATTAAGCTGGTTTAGTACATGCTGTACAGCTGGCGATGGATGCAAGGTTTCTGACGCGACTTGTTTCTGCGCAAGAAGAAGAGCTGACGAAAGCATATGAAGCGCTCTCACATATACAACTAGTTGCTCTGCTCGGCGATATGCATCTGATCGTTCTTTTTTCTACAATAAAAACAAAATTTTACGAAACAATTTAATAAGTTTAACCGTTTAAAAATTTTAGGTAACAAAGCTTAAGTGAAATAAAGCAGGTATAAAATGGACTAATACCTAAAAGAACTCTGTAATATTAAAAAGAATTAACCTTCCGTGGTGGCATCGAAAGGGATACAAGATTTCCCCTGTCTTCAGCAACATTAACAAGTGTCTCAACTAACTCAAGTACAAATCGCAGCTTCGCTAGCACTTGAACATGTTCTGCCTGGAAATTAAAGAGTGAGTATTTATTTGGTAAAAAAAACCGAAAGAAAATTTGAGATCTTACAGATTTACAATTTAATAGGAACAAGAAAGATTTCAAAATAATATGGTTTTAATTTACGAAACTACTAGAAATAGATTAGAAAATGCAGTAAAGTAATGTGCAACTGAAACACAGATAGTTAAAAATATGCATACAAATGTGTACAGAGCAAAAAAAAAAAACGAACCCCCATAAGAGTTTCCTGCTCCAACGATGGTGGGATATCATTTAATGAGGGAAGAGTATTCTGACAGTTTGGTGCTGATGCATTCGTATTTGACGTATTCTCGGCGACCTGAGTGCCCGTACAGATTCCTTCATCTGCTGTTTCGCTTTCCATGAACTGCGAACGAGAAGATAAATCTGTAGTAACCATGAAAAGAGTTAGTTATGGATAAGTAAATGTCAATGTATTGACATATAGTAAACCAAATCTATTAGACAACCCTAATATTAAAGCAATTTGCACTATTGTGGATTACCACTTTGAGCATCCAAAAAACTGCTGCTTCATAAACAGACCTCAAATATTGCAAATCACGTTATAAAAGGTGATTTGATAAACCTCGTTGGTAAAAAGTAGTCTGGAAAATGTATTAGTATAACTAAAACAGTTTGAAAAATTTACTGGATGCAAATGGAAGATGGATTGGCTGGCTCAGCTCAGCGTCCTCTTCTTCCTCACTCAGACTGCTACTGTAAAGAAAAACATTATTTTCATGATTGAAAAGCATGCTCTGAATCTGTAGTACATAATTTTTTTATTGCCAAATATAATTACTGTTAAAAAAGTTGCTCGGCTGACTGGTTAAAAGCGACTGACTGATTTTTCAAATATCCGAGCTGCAAAGGAAAATATTTCTTGGTTTAAAAAATTTTTTAAACAATGTCACATTTTAAAGTTATAATGACTACGATCTTTATATTCAAATGGAATCTAATCTTCCAACTCTTTAACATTTCACGGATTTCATAACTACAGACCTCGTGGAAATTTCATTGGCAGCTCGCGGAGTAACACGAACAGTAAGCGATGCACAAGATCGCGGTGGTGATACCGAAAGATATTTTAAATTATCCACTGGAGGTATTGGTGAGGGTTGTGGTGAACTCGGTCTTCCCACATCTTCTTCCATAAAAGATCGAATATTTTCCACACTACTATTTCGTCCTACTTCTGCTTTTTCCTTGTTCATTCCTCTTTCATCCTTAGGGGTAGTGTGAACAACGTTCACAGCGTCCACTTCCAAAACTGGTTCCAGAATTTTTCGATTGCAGCCTCCGCTGGTAGCATTAGCAGTAGCAGAAGGAGTTAATTCTGGTGATAAGCTAGCATTAGAAGTCGTTGCAACTGTATCAATGGTATATTGTCGTGCTCGATTTGCATCGTATTGTGATGTCCGTGAATCTTTCACAAAAAAATTGTGCTAAAATTTCGATTATTAAGATAACAGAAATCTGAAGAACTTTCTCAAAGATGAAACTTAAAACTAAATCGAACTTTGTTATAAAAAGGTAACGAAGCTCGTGCACACTGAGGCAAATCAAAATAAAGTCAAACTAGTTTTTTGTAGAGTGAACTGATTTACAAAAAGATGTTGAGCAATCTGTCGGTAAAAATTAAAAGAACCGAAAAAGATTATTGCTTCAGCAGGAGATACACCAAAAAATCTAAAAACTAGCAAGTCGCTAGACTTGTCTGACCAAAAAAAAATTTTCAGGACCACAGAAAAATGGAAAATTATTCCATTGACAATTAAAAATGCTAAATTCGAATTTTTTAGTATGTATAGTAGTTACTCGAATTCTAACAAAAAAAATGAAAAAATAAAACTAACTTGTGGGCAAACTAATATATTCAATGGATGGAACTTTGGGTTCAACAACGGTAGCAGTACCACCACTCACACTTCGCGCACTACACCGCTGAATGCTTGCAAAATGATTATGATGTGTAGAACCATTTCGCCTTTCTTCCATTTTTGCGTATGCCAGCCTCTGGCTTGGCACCGGTACAGCACGTGCATTAGATGCAGCATTAAAAATCTGAAACAGCAGCAGAGTGTGAACCATAATTCTGTCCTTCACCTGCAACTCTAATTCATTTCATGACAATCATCGTTCCGGCGCGAAGTAATTAGCGCTATCAAACTGATCCACAGCATTTTAAGAATACTTTCAGGAAAAGAAAGAGAAATTCGACACTTATAGGCATACTGTATGATGCCGAATTGAGCACGACAGTCTTATACATCCAAGTAATGACAGTAAAAAATGATTCTAAGGATGATTCACATGAATACCTTAATCTGTTTGACAGGATTTCCTGAATATGAATCAATATTTGAAGTAGCTGCAGAGAATAGTCTCCGAGAAACAAGAGGAGAATGCGTTTTTGACCGACTGTTTGCAAGGGGAATTTGGGTGCCATGCATTGATGGTAGGAATGTGAAGTCGTCAGAATCGGAGACAAATCCTGTCTGGCTTGGTGTCGGAAAGGTGTTGTGCCTGTAAAGCGTGTGTATAGAAACATATTCTCAGGTAAAATAATTTATGGTGCTAGGTACTAAATAACGTACTATTTGGAATGGAGAGATACACAAAAAGTCTGAAATGAGGACATCAAATGTATCAACCTGTATCTAATCAAAGATTTTAATGTTAATTTTTATGGGACTTCAATCCATGGAAGAAAAGTAAAATACCGCGAGCTGATAGGATGAGGTGAACTCAATTTTGAATTGGTAACGGTACGCCCGGCAACAGTTGGTGATGTTACAGCAGGTACTGCAGGCCGATGAGATGGCGAAGATACGAGCTGTGGTAAGACAGCCAAATCGTGGTGTTTTGTTGTTGTGATAAATGGGTGTGAAAAGAAAGTCTCTGAAGTGAATTTGAAGTAGACTAAAACTTTTGTCAAACAAACTCATAAGACCAAAAAAATTTGTTCACTTTCCAGTAAAAGTAGGTTAAAAGAAAGAAAGGAAACAGGCGCATTCATAGTTTATGAGAAAACAGAATAGTCTGAAACTCTAACATTAAGCAGTGGAATTATTACAATATATTAATGTCCGACATTACTATGTTGCAGATTATCCAAACAAAAAATCAAAAAAAACCCTTTAACACTCAACAACTACTTATTTGTTCATAACCGCATTTCTTCGAAATGATATTTTAAAAAAACAGAAAAACATCTCTGGATTAAACTTATTATTCAACGAATTCAAAAGCCACAAGTATTTAATTTTTGGAGCGGATTCAGTATTTCCCGACTAAGCATTAAACATTATTAAGTAAACTTCATGCTAATATTAATCCGCAGTTTGTGTACTTATGATTTTAAATAATAGAAATTTCTCTTCCTTTTTATTGGAAAAACCCAGTACTTAATAAGTTACATGATGTAACACCAATTGAAACCAATGGTGTATTTTTTATGAACTGCCAATGAATCAATTTTCACTTAATTTAATGTGCAGGAAAAACTGTCACCTATGTTCTGAACAAACTTTTTCCAGCAAACGCTTTAACTAGTAATTTTTTCAAAAGGCTCAATAATAAAATGGTGATATGATATTTAAACTTTTCTAGCTCTATTTGTAGAGATACTACTTATTTTATTCGGATATAAAGTAAACTTATTACCGAATGCAATGCGATCTTTCGGATTTCTTTTCAGCAGAGCAAGCAGTAAATCTTTCAGTAAAGGACTGCAATATGTTGGAATGTTTGGTCGAAGCTCTTTATTTCGTTCATAAAATTGTTTCAAAGCCTGGGGTGTTTGTGCTTGAAATGGTGCTTTTCCCGTCAAGCATTGAAAAATAATTGTTCCTACCGACCACAAATCAGCTTTAGCGCAATACTGCAATGACATTATCACCTGAAATTGCATATTAATTACCACTAAATAAAATTACACTAGACAAAGCCTGAAATTCCAAAAAAAAGTTTCAAAGGAAAGACCTCTAGTATTTAGTTTCTTACAGTGCTAAGAAATCTATATAAACAAATTTACTTCAGGAGCCATATACATCGGCGAACCGCAAAGAGTGGCTGCCATATGACCATCACCTAGAAAACGTGCAAAGCCAAAATCAGCAAGTTTTACAATTAGATCCGTAGCTGGAGGATTCGGTCGCTGTCCTGGATTGCACAGCAACAGATTTTGAGGCTTTAGATCTCTGAAAATGTAGTTGATATTAGTCCACCTAATTCTTTTTCCGAAAAAATTACTCTGCTTTTGGTAATAAACAACGACCAATCTAACAGTTTGCACTTTACAAATAGAAATATAATCTGCTGGAACCACAAAAAACTCCGTCTAGGAAGTGTTCTCATGAACTTTGCACAGTCATAATTCACAAAATACAATTGCTTTTCATTTAAATTTATTCCGATTAATGCAATTAACGACTAACAGAGTTTCAAAAATAACTTGAAAATGATTCCAACTTACGGGTCATTTCTAATTTTGAATGAAAAGACAAATTTGAAATGTGTATGTCTGAGATATTACACAATAATGTTCAAATAAACCTATTATATTTTTGGACCTAATAATTATACTTTTTTTTTTTTGTACTTATATTTACATCTATATTTTATCCCGTACAAAAGCAAATGAGAAAATGACCTGTGCACGATTCCTTTTTTATTAATTGCTTCAATGGCCCGAGAAATGTGAACAAGAAAATGCCGGATGGTTATTTCAGGAAGTGTTACTTTATTTTGCAAATAGTCGCCCAAATCTCCAGCATTGCAATATTCCATTACCAAAAAAACGTTGGTCGGCGTCTCGACACATTTCAATAATGCCACTAAATTTTCATGCTGCAAATTCGACAACTCCTGAAATTACATACATCTATCTGCCAAGCGCAATTAACGGAATTTTTTTCCGAAACGATAAATGTTGATCTAAAACTCCGATAATCTTACCTTAAGTATTTTTATTTCTTTGGTGAGCAAATTTTTCGATTTAGTCAAACTTTTTTTTGCAATGCTCTTAATAGCCACTGGAATATCCTTGTGCTGAAACGCAATACATGTGAATTTGTATAATTTAAAACTGAAGATATTAAATGAAGCAGAAAGTAAGAAGAAGCTAATAGATGATGGTAATAATTTTGGAAGCTACAAATATGATCTTATTCTTTTCACTGGCCGAAAAACGCACTACCGAACGAAAACAACAGTGCGTTTTTATACTACTTAATACTACTTTCAAATTGCTTAAAAATTTTTAAGCAAAGAAAAAAACATATTAAATCGTAAATAAAGGATAATCTTTCCTTACCCTCCTCTGCTTTCGTGAACTTTTTTATTCTAAAATCCTTTTAAAACAATAAGAATCCTTTGGCTTTGTTCATGCAAAGCAGTGGTCAGACAACAGGTTAGTAATTAATAAGTGAAAAGGACAAGTGCGTGGAAACTCTAACCATATATCAAAAATACTGTTAAAAACCTCTAGAACATAATAACAAAAGTGAAAAGTGGATATATGCTGAATTAATTTCCCTTTTTCAGGGTGATCTTTTAGTTACAGAAAACAAAAACTTAGATCTACTGGCCATACCAAAGCTTCCAGTTCAAAAAATGTTAGAAATAAACATCGAGAAAAATGAGCGTCAACTAACATCAGTATATCGTCCTTTATAAACGATAGCGAATGCACCATGACCAATTAGATCTTTCTTTGTATATTCGAAGCCATCAAACTTTTCCATGTCTTCTCCTTCAACTCATCGCGATTCCTATAAAATCATGCTTGTCTTCAATGAATTATTTAATAAACTAATCTCGAGCCACATTCACATACAGAAATACCGGATGTAACATCGAGGTGAATAATAGAAAATTAGAGGAAATCAAAGGATAAATAATGCATAAATAATATTTCACGAGTTAATGTATATTTCGAGATGTTCTGTCAATGCCGATAATAACTTCTGCTGAAGAGAAAATTGTCAGATTTTATGGATTATGAGACACATAAAATGGTATCCTGGGACATTAGATGAGTACTTTAAAAATTATGTCGCTGCGGGAGTTAACCAAAAACATTGTGTATTGAGATTAATCCGTATATCTTTTCAGTGTGTTAGAGTATATGTTGAGAATGGCATGCATGCGAGACACCAAAAAGATGAAACAACGCGAACTGTGAGAGCAGCAGTTACAAATTAAACAAGATCTAATATTTCAGGATGGCAATGAAAACCAGCAATGCCATTCCAAGTAGTGCATTACGGATGAGATAATGCATCGATGAACCGAATTGGACAACCAGCGATCTGAGTCAGTAGTCATTTATCTGTCTATACGATATGCATCTTCCAGTTTCATTTATCCTTTGTCTTTCATCCTGAAAAATAGTTTCACTTATAAATAAATGCATGCAAGAATATATGATCCCATGATTCGTTCATCAATTAAATTTCCGTCAATTCTACTCGAAGAATCTGTCATTCTTCATACTACTTTAAACCTGGTTAGAACTAACACCAAACAATGAGATCAATTTTTCGTTATTTTTTTACTCGTCCTTTACCAGTCTAAACATCTTCTGCAATTTAATGAATTTTAAGAATGATGCTTTCCAAAACGGTTAGCACTGAAGTTAACAGTAATATGGCGTATACCTCCTTGTCTCCTTCCTAAGTCGTTAGCAAATTCAAATTTTGGTAATATTGTTTTATACATCCTTTGAAACCGATAAAATAATCATCTGATGTGATGTAATCCGGAATTTGGTATAATTTTTGCAAAAAAGTGAATTTTATTGTGCGCTTGGTGGCGACTATTATAGTCTTCTAGTGACTTCAGAAAAGAAACTTGTCCATCAAGAAAACATCAACGAACGGAATTCAATAACTAAAAGAATTGCACTATTAAAACTATCCGGTTCATAAGCATGCTACCCATATGACATAGGAAATGCTGCAGGACGACTTCCTGTGAAAAGTTTCGAAACATTACAAAAAGACGTTTTTGAATTTCTTCATGTGAAAACAAAGAAGAGTGAAGTGGCAAAGAATAGAACTGTTTTCAAGAAGGATAAGAATAACTTATTTATAATTACAATAAGAAAACTTCACTTCACTAAAATTTTGTCGCATGGACGCGAAAAGTATGGCAATATGAATGAGTGAATACTATTCTTCCTTGACAGTTGACAAATAAGAATGAGGAAAATGATGCAGAGTCCCCAATTTCAGCCATCTAATCAATACGCTCGTGGGACAATTCCACAATTAATTACATTTAGTAGTCTCTTATGGTTCGCTCCTCCTAAGCTACATTTACTGAAAAGAAACCGAGGTTAAATTTAAAAAAAATGAAAAATGAAAATACGAGGATGTGTAGAATGAAATTCTATTCAAGTTAAAATATTACGAAATATTCTCGAGCAAATGCCTGAATTTCCCACAGAGCATAGAAATTTCGAATAAGAATTGAGCTTTTTGAAATATCATCAGTGAGGTGATTGGATCACTTGGGTTGAATACGCATAGACTAAGAGGTGAGTTGTCGGAAGTTCAATGAATGTGTAAAACTACTACAAAAACCTTCAAGGATTCATCACCCATAAAGTTAGTTGGAATAATAACTGAACCAGAAATAAAATGAGTGGAAGTCCAAGAGACAAAGCTCTTGTCTTTGTCATCTGAATGATCGAGTAAACATACAAAGGATGTGAAGGGAGAGAAAGCAGGATGAAGAGATGATGAATAACTTTACGGAAGGAATCAAAAGCAGCATTGAATTTTAAAGACGGAAAGTACGAGGAGAAGTTGGCTAATAAGAAAGTTAGTTGGAATGGGTGACGAGGGGACCTCATTTGAACTAGTGGACAGGGACATGACGAAAGTACAACTGATTATCAAAAGCGGAACGGGAAGTGAAGTGTGTAAGAAGGAAAGATAGATGAAGGACAAGGTGGGAAAGGGATAAATCCATCTCAACTTACCTTGCACCATTCCACTATTGGATTTTCAGCTAAGCAATCTTGGTCTAAAGCATCACTTGGGAGACATGTAACAGGCTTGTATTCTATGTAACTTCAGTAGTAGCGAGGGAAGAGGATCGACTTTAAAACGATGACTACAACAACAGCATCAGCAGCAGCAGCAGCAGCAGCAGCACCCCGTGTAAACAGCACTCGCAGTCGTCCCGAAATGCTTCCATTTCTCTTTCAGCGGAACATTGATGGATGAGTGCGAACAATGACGAATGGTTGTATTGAGTGAGAAAGTTGATCCCTCCATAGAATGTGTTAAAGGCAACACCGCGATCGAATCCACCGCATCACATCATCTGAGATAATGTAATCAAGACGTTATCATATACCACTGGTGCTAGTTAAGCCATGTACCACAGCGGGGAGAGTAGTTCTTTAAAGAGTCACGCTAGCGAATTGAATCGATAAGTGTAACACAAATTCCAAACTCTATTCCCATCCGTTTTGCAAACTTGAACCACTTTTTGATTATCCCACGAAAAGTGAATTTGTCATATCCATGTTCAGGTAAATATTTTTATAGCATTCTTCATGGTCTGAAGCTTCTTTTCATGATTATATCAGCATACTCACTGGACATTCCGCATTTTCTTTTTTTTCTTTGTGGAAGGAGGTTTAATTTACTTTTTATTTCTGTTTTTTGAGTCAAATTAGCGAATCTGAAATGGATTGTTGTTTTAAATAAAGGGTAATGGGTGATCGTTCTTTAACACTTTTTGTGTAGGGAACAGAATGTTTCTGAAATGTTTGGTGACTCCACTTTTCTTCCCAAATCGAAAGAAAAGTAGCTAATCCAATTCAACAAAATAAAAATAAAAAATAAATCAAAACTCCCCAAAACAAATGTGGAATGTCCGATAAGTATACTGACATCAGCACAAAAACTTCAGACTATGTAGAATGCTATCAAAATGTTTACCCAACATAGTAGTTATTTTATGCCTCTGCTTTTCTCATGAATCTTTTTCAACTGGAACGTGCCAGGGGTAAAACATGGAATAGAAATCGTAGAAGGGCAAAACTTGCAAGAGGGACACATATTGACAAAACAGCCATGGCAGGGAGCGTGCATACGAAAACACAGGATATAAGTGGGACCAGCTCAAATCAATAGCCATGCAATGCTTCAAAAAATTAACGAAAATCCTGCAAATGTTGGGAATCACCGTTTCTAGTAATTAAGGACTGTAATCAATCATTTTTTCAATAAGATGCACATAGCCATCAGATTTACAAATGCAAACATCGTTGTAAATAGAATGTTTAATAGAATTAAATAAGCATCAAACTCCAATTCTTAAAAATGCATGTCCAAAGATAAGTTCATTTTCATGTCAACAAATGATCAAACTGAAAGCCCATGGACGTACATGGAATAAAAATTCAAACGGACTTGACCTCCTCAAACAACATCGATTCTATTCCCTTTATTCTAACCTCGTACAGTCTTGAAAAAGCATACCCACGTGATCTCTCCCTTTTGTAATTCATATAATCAATCTTAACAAAATAAGAAAGTCAATTCATCATCTATATAAGTCACCCAGTGAATATTACCCTTTTCATCATCAACATCAGCCATGAAAAATTTATTGAAATTACATATTTTGAATGTTTATGCATATTTACAGAATGAAAAATTGTTAAAGCTATAGTTATAACATTCAGATCCTTTCAGCTCAGAAACTGCGAACGACTTCACTGATTGAATTGCATATGAATATCATTATCAATCAATATAAATGATAACAGCAACGGGGTCCTTCCAGCAACGTACACAAGTCATGATTAGACATCTTAATAACTGCATATGTTAAACAATTGCTCAGATGGGATCAAACCGTCTTCCATAATTTTATCCAAAGTAATACAAGTTTTAAGCATGCCCTAACTGGAACTGATTAGCCACATGCAGTAACACCTCTAAAACAGAAGTAATAATATCTAAAAATGTGAAATGCAAATCGAGATAATGGAATCCTTTCAGAACACCTTGTATGGAAGGAAGAAAAAGGACTGAAGAGAAATCAATTAATTGTTTCAACATAATTTCCCGGAAACAATCCAGTGCATCCATTAAGTACACCCTCGTACCAACCATCTTCATTCTTCCGCAAAACATAAACAATGCAGTTTTCTCTAAGGGTTAATTCGTCCGGTTTTTCTGCTTCATAATCATATAGCGCAACTGCTGAAAATTTATTTCATCACACTGACGCTTATTTAATTCGAGCTTTTTATCTTATCAAAATCTGTTCCTATTAGTACTACATTAAAGTAATTATTTCACTTTAAAGCTGAAAAATGAACAGTTGCCCTCACAATATTCCAGTCCATCGAGCTTTCTCTATCAGAGCTATAAAATGTACGAAACTGCACACCCTTCTCGATGTAAACTTTCGGAATCCAATCATATGAACGATCAAATGGAGATTCCAGCAGAAATGGCGAACGGTCGTTAGTAGATGTGGGATGGTTTTTTGACAATGCTGACTCATAAATTGGTGTCATCGTAGCTTGCATCGGAGGAGGTGGCAGTGGTTCATTGTCCATCATTACAGAAATAGGCGGTGGTGGAAGTCCATCTATAGTAAGAAAACAGAGGAAAATAAAACTTATAAAGCAAAATCAGACGGCAAAATCAATAAACCGACAAGTTATTCTTATTCATTTTTATTCATATTAAATCAACGCCAAAAATATACCTAAACTATTCGCTGATAACCTGTATTGGGCTACCGATGCCAACTGAGGAGGAGGAAGAGGTACTGATTGCTGTGAATCTCTTTTCCTGCTTATAGTACCGTAATTCGATGTATTTGAAATACCGTTGTAGTTCTGGCTTCCGTGTGTAACAGAAGAAAATCTTTGAGGATCTATGATTGGAGTAGTCGCTACTTGCGGCGTACGATAGTGATCTCCACGCGTTGTCGACGAGCGGGAAAGCTGAAATGAATGGTGATGAGCTAACTGCACACCAATCTAGCCAATTCTTACTAATTACATATATCATCCACTCCATTAAATTCAATACAGTGAGACAGATGGAAAACCATTCTGCCGAACATTTATTTGGTACTAAACCTGAAGCAAAATGTCGGAATCGTTTCCAAACACAATGAACAACAAGCATTCAATTCACTAGTGCTGTCTGCTATACAGACTTGTAAAACAAAAAGCTGACCAGATGTGGCGCTTGATGAGAAAAGCGACTGCTCGAATAGCTATTAAGGTATACTTGCTAATCACCTTAACAAAAAAGAAAAATCAAACCTGTTTCCACCTTCTGAAAAATAGAAAAAAATACCGTGGCAGTGATATTTGCTTTAGGGAGCAATTGTTCAAAATTTGGGAAAACTGGGTAATGTGCACTAGTGTTTCCATGAGATGGAGTTGAGGCTACACGTGTAACAAGTGACCGATTCGCTAGCTCGGGAGTTTTAACACCATGTCCCAAATTATCCAGTACCGAATAATCGATTGGAGTACGTTGGTAACGTTGAAGAGGTTCCTTAAGAACAGCATATTTTAGCAAGCATGGGAAAAGAGGAAAAAAAAACTGAAGAAAAGAGGAAAAAAACTGAACAATTCACAACTAATTCACAATAATACTGAAACCTGGATGATTAAATACCTGAACTCCAACAGCAATAACTTTATGTTTCCTCTGAGCACATTTGTTTATTGTTAATAACCCGATTTCACGCCTCGCCACTTTTTCTTTATGAATTGCAATGATTTCTCCTACATTGTGAACCTAAAAAGCTGAATATCGAGTTTGAAACACTATATGTGACAAAAGCAATATTCTTTAGAATTTCAAACTATTTTTAGTGAATTCTAAATAACTATTGCGTTTAATATTTGAATTTTTACTTTATGATCAATAATTACTGTTTAATTCAAATCTAAATGATTGAAGTGGAGAGAATTTGCAAGTGAATGAAGTGACCTTTTCATTTATTTTATCGTATGTCAAAAGGTGTAACGGGATTCTGAAGAGGCCATTTATTGCACACTTGAAAAATGTCAAGCTAAATATTCAGACAGCAATTGAACATAATGGTTTTCTGGACATTTCAGATTATGAGCAAAAAAATGTACCTGCGATGCCATATTACTGATTTTATTAGTCTGCAAATCGAGTGCATGCAGCAGAGCATAAGCTAAGGTATTCACTTGATATGCTACACTAGCGAGACTTTGCACCACATATCGTCTCGTTTCATCAAATGCCGCTTTTTTATCTGGTGCCTGAAAAGAAAACATTGATCTAAGGATTTTTCAGATCACGGTTAAAAGAAGAAATTCTATTTGCGCATAATAGTCGTTAAAATTTCTTTCAAGTTTGCTTACAACTTGAGTACTCGAAAAAAAATAACTGGCCTTTCTGAAAGGCCATTCTGCCCGACACGAAAGCAGCGTAATCCACGACATGCTCATTAGTCTGCGGAAAAAAGTCTTCAAATCATTCCCAACATTCTTTGATAAATGCGATCTTCAAGTCATGTGAATTGTTGAGTGGATTCAAAAGATGCTTTTGACGATCTAATTATTATATATTTTGCTCTGAAGCACTTCGACTTGTCTGAGGGTAAGTTTGCTTAAAGTCGGGACATGGCCAAGATGGAGGATATTAAATGTATTACACATACAAGCAAGCGTACCTGTGCATAACTGGCTTCACAGTAAGCAGCGACCCGTTCTAAATTTGAACAACTGCTTTCCAGATTCGCTCGGCCATCCGGAATCTCGTTTTCAATCAGGCTGCGCAGAGTAACGGCACGTTCAGGATCGTTCATCATTACTGTAAATTTAAATGATAAATGGGATACATTGTTGAAATCACAGAATTAGCATGCAGCGTTAGAATCCAATCACCCATCATCCCACCTGTCCTCTACAGTCATAACTACCTAGCCATTCTGTCCACTCTCTTGCTGCCGGAAGGAAGACTGTTCCCAACATCCGCAAAATACAACCGATTCCCAGGTGCTGTTATTAGTTAGATAGTGCCACAGACATCCCCTCCTCTCCTTTTCTTTCCAACAAAACATTTCGAGAACAGAAAGAGCACATTCTTCGTTCTCCACAAATTCCACTCCAACACTTAATCTCTTACTCTTCCCTCGTTATCTCCCAATCCATCTCTCTCATATGATCATTCATTTACTTTCACTTCCCGTCACATTATGTACCACTATGTTCATATACTTTCTCCATCCCTGACCGAGAAGTGTTTTTCGAATATCAACATTCCCTGGCATCTCTTACGAATCTGTGCTACTTTCTTTCATTCCAGCTCTTGTCACAATAACTGTAATCTCATGGAAAATCCTTAACTCTCTTACCTCCTTTTTTCTTTCTCTCTCTCCTCATGAAACCAGAGGAACTTCGTTTCGAAATGTTTGTTTCCTGCTTGGTTTTGCGATGAGAAAGCGGGAAGAATACAGGATGGAAATGGAGTCGAGCTCGTAGCTTTTAGCTTTTCAATGTGGGTTATATCAAAGGTTTTTTCATGATCAACAGATCTTTCTTAGATTTCACCGAACTGCAACAAATACCTTGATCAATATATGTTGATAAATGACAGTTGTCCATAACATATACAGTTGCATTGCAATCGAATGACTAGTTCGCCATACCTGTTTAACCTTACCTGATAGGAGAAATCATCTGAAAAAATATAGTTTGAATATTCATTGCATTATGAAAACTTTGGGATGATTTTGGATGCTGGAAATGAGCAATGATATTGTTAATGAAAAATGATAAAGAAATAAGAATGCAATGCTTACATTAAGTATAATCTGATATAAGTCAGAGTGATAATCAATCTATCCATGCATTTTCATCACAGTTTCGAAAAGTTTTTGGAAAACTCTAAAAAAATGAGTTCCTTCGGAAAGCAGATTCTTCTTAGATGTTAAAGTCAAAAAAAGTAAACGAACTTGTGAACAACTTGCCGCAAGCAATTATGACTAAATGAGAATTATCCTTGAGCACATCCATTTGCGACTTGATAAGTCATCGAAAAAAAAAACCAACTGTGACACAGGAATAAAAACATGTCGAATAAATCTCTCATTGATTTAGATCCTGCGAAATTTACTCCCTTCACGGATGACAAAACAGAAATAACACTCCATAGTAACTATACAACATAATTACCTATAAAGAAGTGATTTTTAAAATTTACAGAAACTGACCAAATCCTCAACCAATCCTTCAGGTAGCTAGTTCTCAGTCAATGATGATTCATTCAATTTTTTTTACTTGTGACGCAGGAGGCACACTTTTGCAGCATTTCTTGTAATGTAGTATTTCTTATCCTTCCTTGTCCTCTCTTCCTCCTGCCCACAAGATGTGTTTAAGACCATCGCGGAGAAAATAGCCAACCATGAAAGTTAAAGTACTTCATGGAGCTCTGCTAAGATCTGAACTTCGAGTTCCGTTTCCTCGCAACTTTACACCTGCGACTCGTTTGAAATGTCAATTTATCAGTCTCTATGTTCATCCTTTATTTCCTTCCGACTTTTCCATTTTCTTACAATTTGTTACGCTCATTTCAATGATCCATTGATTAAGTTCATAAATGTCTGTTCATGTCGAGGGAAGTGTATCAGTTTTCCACAATTTTTAACTTTTAGTCGTACTACGTCCTTTTCCATTTCGCTACATAATTTCACACCTTTCTTTTCGACTAAAAGTTATTCATCTTATCCCCACTCAGCAAAATGCTCGTTCTTTTGAATTATAAGCAACAAAACCTCACTGGAAGTAGAAATTATGAGCGAAATTTCATAGATGTAGTAATTCAAACAGTCGACATCATTTTTAAGGGAGAATGAAACTTTCGGATGCTTATTTTTCGAAATATTCTGGGCTGCTTACACCTATAAAACAAGTATTAAAAAAATTTCTTGAGGATTTTCATAAATTTTGAATTGCAATATACTGTCGTCTTTTGCATTTTAAAATGTTTAGAAAGAAATTAGATGAAAATTTTGATAAACTCCTTGAAGGTAAAATACAAATTTGATATTCTACACATAATGCACGGTAATATAAATGAAAATGAGAATTTTTATATAGTAGAATGCATGTAATCGATATTTTTTCATGGATCCGTGACATAAACCTGATGGATAACCGGACCTGATACCTGTATCAATAGCCTAGTTTTTACACAACAGTGCGTGGGATCAATCTGAATATAGTGTCTAGAAGCTAGAAGTTCACTCATCCAAAAGTACTGTTAGAGAGAATAGTGAAGCTAAACTTGTGGGCGGAAATCGCGCTGAGCATTCTATATGCGATGACATTTTACAAATTTCGGGATTGAAAGGACTGTGTGCAAAGACGGCATCAATATTGATTGTAACATGGTGCGTAAACATTTCTATAATTTTCTTTTAATTTTTAAATAACTGTTAATTTCTCGCTCATTTCAATCTTTCACATTGTTCAATACTTCAACATCGCGCAGAACATTAAAAAACTTCTCTGTAAGTGACAGAAATACATTTAGGAAGAAGCTAATTTAATAGAGAAAGAATCTGATGAAATTTACTTCATTGGGAGGATTGATTGTTATTTCAAGCCAAGCTAGAACTAAGCAACTTATGGAACTCTCTTCTACTAGTACACAAGAATTAATGGTAGGGTATCATAAGATTTGCAACGATATGTGATATTCATCCATTAAGTTCAAAAGAAATTGAACTGTATTCAAAACCATAATCAACACAACATAAAATTTGTAATAATTTGTATTGTTAACAAAAAAACTTATTATATTTTGCATAACATAGTTGAATTATTCCTCCAGTCTTGAATTTTGTCACCACTAATAGTGTAGCAATATTATCATACAAATGTAATTGGGAGACTATTTGTTGGAATTCTGTTGGAGACTATTTGTTGGAATTCTGTTGGAACTCAGAATACCTTGTAAGTATCATTCCATTCAGTCTCACTCCAGTAGCCAGCTTCATGGACATTTTTATGTGATTCATACCAAGTGAAATTCGCTGTTGGATGAGGTACTCGCCAGTTACCGTAATCCGCCTGAAGTTAGTGGAATCTTTTATATTTGATTATATTTATATTATAGTCAGATACGCTTCACTTAGCTCATGGGTCAAAAAAAGGCTGTGAAAATTGAAAAATGAGGATGAGAAACGTTTGACCTAACTTCAAAATCACCTAGTGTCGGAGCAAAACGTGAACCTGGGCGATTTTTCAAAAGCGAATTGATGATAACCCTTGCACCTTATAATTTGCTTTCTCCCTGACCCAGCTTGCACCTGATTAAAAATTACAGAACATACCTTTAGTACTTCTTCAACATTGCAAGGCACATGAAATAATCTTCCCAGTAAAGCTCCTGTACAAATCTGTGAAATGGGTGGATAAATCCAGCGAAATTTCTTCCTTTTACTGACTATCATTCCACCTACCCAAGCGGAATCCTTGTTTTCGTACAGGAAGAATAAATCTATTTTGATGTTTGCCGAATAAACGCTTAGTTCTAATGAGTCGTTAACCTAAACAGAATTTTAATTTTCATTTTTGGCGAACGTATGACTGCAACTAAATAAAACGAATAAAATTTTAGTTCCACTGATTAATTAATTAACAAGTAATTAACGGATTAAATAATTATTGGTAATCGATATCTTCTCCGTTATGATAAGTCACAGTTTTGTTTAATTATGCAAAACAGAGCAAACTTTTCCGAGGATCCAAAAAAGTTTGAAATCTTCCGACTTCTCCATATTTTTCAACATCCTTAGATCTAGAGAGGTAATTTTCATCGCCATATCAACATCCGTAGTATCTCTGATAAAGGAACATTCCCTGTACCAACCTAATAAAATTATCTGTACTAAACTGAATAAATCCTTCCTCGTTTATTCTGTCTCACTAATTTTCTCTTCGTTGGAACAAATAAGCTGCCATAGCAGTAGAATTCTTTCAAAATGATAATGGAAGTATGATTATTGTTCTTAGCTTGCTATTTGCTAGCAGTGGCTTTTCTACTTAAAAGAGGAAACGAAGTAAAGAGCCATACAGCTCGATTATGCAAGAAAATTTCATCCCTACTTTCATTAATAATTGAATTTAAATGCGGCAACGCTTACGTCAATGGAAACAAAGAGAAAGTGAAATTCAATACAATCTCAAGAACATTTGTAAATGAATTTAAAAAGACCAAGAAGAGTGCCGCCGAAAAGAAACGGCGTTGATGCGTACGATTCCAGAAAGTCCCGAAATCCAGCCATATTGTTGACATAATCATCAGGAATCACTGATTTATTCCAACTACTCGAAACATTCAACTTGATGCAATCGAGGAACCTTCCATTGCTCCATTTCCGGAAGAATTCTTCCTTGTTTGCTGGTACCCACGTTTCTCGTTCGAATACATGCTTCTTAACTGCGTATAGACTAAAAAGAACTTGTTCAGTTCGTAATCTTTCAAAATTATAAAGATTATTCACTTTAACCATACGTAGTTGCCAGTTGAGGCATAGATGCGTTGCCAATATGCCTCATGAATTACCGCTTGCACAGTTTAATCCTTCATTTGTTGTTGGTGGTTTTTCCTTAGTATACCGTAGTGATTTACATAAGTTCTTCTGTCTTCCAAAGAAACTATAACAATGTTCTTCTCTTTTTCATTAATTTTTCTGCATCCATTATTAATTCTAAGATATTTCATAACATCTGCACAGATTGTACTTGATATATAAGAAATTTATTTAAACCGGACAGCTTTTAATTCCCTGAAAGGATATAAAATACGACTTCTAAACTGTACCCGTAAGCAGCTCGCAGATCTTCATCTCGCACAAATTTTACATAATCTTCATTTGACGAATTTACCATTCGATAAAGAATAATGTTTCCGATTGCTACCGGGTTTTCTAAATTATCATATGTCCCAAAGACATATTTATCGGGAATGATATCACAAAGCCAAAATAAATGGTCGAGTTGCTTCAAATACTCCAGTTCTTTTTTTTCCTAAAGGAAGCGAGTGTGAGGCCCTGCTGTTGACAGGTCTGCTTATTTCATATGACATTTTACAAAATAAACGAAAGAATTTCAGCAGCTGGATGAACATTATCCCTACCTACGAAGAAAACACGAAATATATGAAATGCAAAAAAATCATACCAAGCGAAAATTGCCGTCGGTGATATCAGAATGATAATCCGTTACAGCAGTATATTTGATCAAGTCCTTTATATTGCTCTTAATATATTGAGTGTAATAAATTATCCCTGTCAGGACAGTTATTGCAACAAAAAAGCGCAAGCAAAGATGTCTAATCTTCAGTAATACCATTGTCCGTCATAATGTGCACAATAAAACAGTCCTGAAAATGGAAGATGCCGGGGATGGTTGTCTAACATCATGAAGAAAGTCATAAACACCGTGTTCTTCACCAGGCTGTTAAAAACACAACGTGATTTTACGTCTTACCACGAAAATATTTGACTTGTTAAACGTTAACGTAAGTGATCTTCTTCCAAAAGTTTTGCAAAAGATTGGTCAATTGGTCACCTTTGACGACATCTGTTAGTTACTCTCTCCATTAGATAACCTTACAATTAAAGTCACTGTTAAAGAAAATGAAGATCTTTTAGCGGATTTGGCTTATTATCAAATAGTTTGTGATTATCTAACGGTCTTTCGAACATTTCTTTGTCTTGCCTGGGTTTCATGATTGCAGTTCACCGTTTCCTGTCATTTGTTTGCATTACTCCAAACATTTCTCTGTGAAGACAGGTCTGACGACAATAGCGCAGCACTCCACTATTCGTCATAAGTGAACGGATTATTCTGTTGGAATAATTAAATCCAGATAGACTTAAAGCCAACAGCACTGTAATATTTACCTTTTCTTTCTGTAACTTTTACTGTTAAGAGTGACAGATAACAGTGTTACAGGGAATTTTTCCTGCAAAAGTATTATTATATGCTTCTTGTAGGTCTGTATGAATCTTTCCTTCTCTTTTTTCCACTATTTTTCATTCATTTTAGAGGGTAAGATGAGTATTGTCTAATCATTCATATCAGAGTCAGGTGCTCATCAGTATATACCATATTTTTATGCACTGGAACCAAAGATAATCTAATTGTGTGACTCGCAATCAACGAAGTACCTTCTATCCTCCAATAGAAATTTGTTCACGAATGGAGTAAACCACTGACAGACAGGTTGTACAGAATGATTAGGTAGTCTAACAAGATCAAGAAAATGTGATGTTATATTATGGTATTATGAAGCTTGGCATTCTGGTGAAAAAGCAGAAGTTGAAATTCCAAAAATGTCGGCAGAAATCAATGAAGAATACAAAGCATATTCTCCACGACAGAGGAACTCTCAGTTAATGTCAGTTTAAAGACTCGATTAATGTACTCTCGTGAAGAAATAACAGTGTTGCTTAGTAACGAATAGAAAACGATTTAAAGTAAATACATATAAGCAACAAAATGTAAGACGAAATGCTGAGACAAGCTGTACTTGGTTATTAATAAGGTAAAGTTTATTGACAAAAGGTGAAACACCGATTACGCTAGAAACAAAAAGAACTGAATCTGGTAAATAGAATAAGGTTATGCGACAGGATAAAAATAATAGTGTCGGTAGATAGACGATAATTGGTGAAGATACTGAGTGATAAGTGGTTACTCCAAGCAGTCTGTAATATTTATCCGATACTTCAGAAAAATAGATAAGAGCAGCATTCAGTGGAAAACAGTTTATAGTAGGAATCTAACAGAATGTCATAAAGTTGGGATTATTTATATTCAGCTATCTATTTCAGGCACAGAGAGAAATTATTCTCATTTTCTTTTTTTTTTTCTAGATGTTTAAAAGTCATTCGAATGCAACAGCGTAAAATGAGCCTAAACAAGAGTTTAGTGCTAATTTGCTAATGTTTTGCGATATATTTTTTCATCTCTTTTGAATAACATATTAGTTTTTTTTTNTTTTTTTTTTTTTTTAATTTTAACAGATTATTTTCCGTTTTCGACTGCGATCAATCGCACTAAAACTAAAATTGGTGAGGAATATACAGCGATATTACAAAACAGTTATGATTCATTCTCGAAACTACCGACTGCAGTCGTAAGATATCAAAAATTCCGAAAATCTTATTTTAAGAGTGCTCAGTGAGCTGTCAAAAAATGAATATGTTCAGATGCTTTAATTTAATTCAGTAGTCTATTTCTCATGTAAATCTAAATCCTCCCAGTTTTAAGCGACATTTGGGTAGAGGATCCAGAAATATGTGCCGAGTATTTAAGTGAAGCGTGAAGCAAAATTACGATATCCTATTCTAATTTCTTGGGAAATCTTTTCGAAACATTAAAGAATTTAATTAAAAGCCAAATGAGCGACGACCACTCACTATGATGCAAATCACAACTTGACATTTATTTGCATTAATAAAGCATCCTCCAAATATTTCGTTTCATTACTTCTTTCCAGCACTTCATATATCTAAAAAATAAGGTTGAACGACAAAAAATGTAGATTGTATCTCTTTTCACCTTAAAATTTCACTCTGTTTACTTGAAAAAAGTCCTTTTAGAATTTTGGACTGATAAGATTAAGGATAATCAGAAGAACGACTATCCAAAAGAAAAAAAATGGATTTTGTCAGTGTAGTTTTTCTTTTGGTGAAGTAATTTATTATAGTTTTGTAATTGATTGAATGTTCAAAGTTCGTTCTGCAGAAAATCCTAGAAGTCAGGAAAAAAGATCGTAGAATACCATGCGTAAACTAGTCAGAATTACATGTAATCCTGGTGACCTTAAAACCTATGTTTAATTCCAGAACTATAATGGATTCAGTGGGGAAAATGTGGATGATAAGTGAAACCTTGTCAAATCAGAAGTCGCTTTGCATGAAACACTGTGTTTTAATTTTCAATTCATCCACTACAATGCTTGAAAGGAGCATGTTCTGATCGAAGCTTTTTTAAAACAAAAGTAAAGCAAAAGAGGATTGAATGAATTTGTCGAGGATTTAAGCAAAGCTTAATATTATTGTCACCATCAGGGACTTCTGATTGCAGCAAACAGCAAAAGTAATAAAAGCGATCTAAGGAAAGGAAGATATAATCTTCAGCAGGAGGTGGTTTTGCACATGGA